GGAATCTCTCTCTGGTCTCAGGTGTTCTGTTATTTCTGTAGTTCCTCCATGCACTTGTATTTAATTGCTTTGCGTTGCTTCCTGACATGCCTGATTAAACCAAGGACTCCTCATTTGTTTTTCATATTATGTTCTTTTGGGTTGGGATAAACTTGCCTACTGCTTCCAGACACGTGTGTGTGTGCGCATGTGTGTGTGTGTGTGTGCGCATGTGTGTGTGTGTGTGTGTGTGTGTATGTGTGTGTGGTGTGTGTGGTGTGTGTGTGTGTGTGTGTGTGTGTGTGTGTGTGTGTATGTGTGTGTGGTGTGTGTGTGTGTGTGTACTCACCTAGTTGTGCTTGCAGGGGTTGAGCTTTGGCTCTTTGGTTCCGCCTCTCAACTGCCAATCAACTGGTGTACAGATTCCTGAGCCTACTGGGCTCTATCATATCTACATTTTAAATTGTGTATGGAGTCAGCCTCCACCACATCACTGCCTAGTGCATTCCATCTGTTAACTACTCTGACACTGAAAAAGTTCTTTCTAACGTCCCTGTGGCTCATTTGGGTACTCAGTTTCCACATGTGTCCCCTTGTTCGCGTACCACCCGTGTTAAACATTTATTTTTATCTACCCTGTCAATTCCTCTGATAATTTTGTAGGTATGTATCATGTCTTCCCTTACTACTCTGTATTCCAGTGTCGTGAGGTGCATTTCACGCAGAATTTCCTCGTAACTCGTGCCTCTTATTTCTGGGACTAGCCTAGTGACATACCTCTGAACTTTTTCCAGCTTCGTCTTGTGCTTTTAGTACGGTACGGGCTCCATGCTGGGGCCGCATACTCCAGGATTGGTCTTACATATGTGGTATACAAGGTTCTGAATGATTAATTACATAGGTTCCTGAAGGCAGTTCTAATGTTAGCCAGCCTTGCATTCGCCGCCGATGTTATTCTTTTTATATGGCCTTCAGGAGACAAGTTTGGTGTGATATCAACTCCTAGATCTCTCTCTCCGTTTCATGAAGGAAACGGACGAACCTCCCATTCGTTATCCTGTTTCTGGCCTCCTGTTTCCACTGCGTAGTTTCATTACCTTACATTTACTCGGGTTGAACGTTAGTAGCCATTTGTTGGACCATTCATTCAGTTTGTCTAGGTCATCTTGTAGCCTCATACTATCTTCCTCTGTTTTAATCCTCCTCATACTTTTTGTATCATCAGCAAACAATGAGAGGACCGATTATATACCCTCTGGGAGATCATTTACTTATATCAGAAACAGCATAGGTTCAATGACTGACCCCTGCGGGACTCCACTGGGGACGCCTCGCCAATCTGAGGCCTCACCCGTGTGAATTCACCTAGTTGTGTTTGCTGGGGTTGAGCTCTTCTCTTTCGGTCTCCCTCTCGACTGTCAGTCAATCAACTGTTACTAACTACTAACTAATTTCCCCCTACCCCCAGGAAGCAGCCGTAACAGCTGTCTGACTCCCAGGTATTTACTGCTAGGTAACAGAGGCATCAGGATGAAGAAAAAATTTTGTTTCTCGACGGCGCCGGGAATCGAACCCGGGCCACAGGATTGCGTGTCCAGCGTGCTGTCCACACAGCCACCGGCGCCCCAACACACACACACACACACACGTGTGTGTGTGTGTGTGTGTGTGTGTGTTTACTAGTTGTGTTTTTACGGGGGTTGAGCTTTGCTCTTTCGGCCCGCCTCTCAACTGTCAATCAACTGTTTACTAACTACTTTTTTTTTTTTTCCACACCACACACACACCCCAGGAAGCAGCCCGTGACAGCTGACTAACTCCCAGGTACCTATTTACTGCTAGGTAACAGGGGCACTTAGGGTGAAAGAAACTTTGCCCATTTGTTTCTGCCTCGTGCGGGAATCGAACCCGCGCCACAGAATTACGAGTCCTGCGCGCTATCCACCAGGCTACGAGGCCCCCTAGTGTGTGTGTGTGTGTGTGTATGTGTGCGCGCGTGTGCGTGCGTGCGTGAGTGCATGCGTGCTACAACCACGAAGAATCCACATTCCGGTACGTGTAGGATTTTTTCAAACTGCGTGAATCCTAAATATCTTGATAATATTTTCAGACTATGAGTGTGAGACAATGCTCCAAAGCCTCCACCATCGCCCTGTAATCTCACCAAATGGCACAAGTTTTTCTGGCGCTGTTTTATAGTTGTTAACATCCGAACGCAATTGTTTCCCGGCTGAGAGCGTTCGGAATCTGCATTAGAATTCAGAGTCCGCGGAGAATCCGTAATCGTGAAAGGATTCCCAGGATGCAATGTTTTATTTTCAGGCATCTCGTGTCCGAATCCCTTTCCGAGTTATTGGCCTCGGAACAACTGTGTTATTTGGGCTTCCTCAACTCGAGAGTAATCTCAAAGTAATGGTACAGCGACTGTAACACATTAGTGACCAAGACTTAAATCTCAGAGGACATTTCAGGAGGAGAGGGACTCAGACGCTAAAGAAAAACTTGTCGTTTGTTAGTAAATAAAAGTGCTCATGTTGATAGATTAACGTTATAGGATGGAATATATTTTGGTACTGTATTTGTTGAATTTGTCGGTTTTATTGGGCAGTGTGTGGAGGTGGGTGGATGAGGTGGGTGGATGAGGTGGGTGGATGAGGTGGGTGGTGGTGGGTGACGGTGAACAAAAGGGGCGTTACAAACATTACCTTAACGTGTTCAACGGCCTGCTGAACAAAATAGGTTGAACTCTTCATAGCTTTCATGAGTGTCAGGTCACCCCCAGACTGGTGACCCCAAGTGTCACGTGACCCCCAGACTGGTGACCCCAAGTGTCACGTCACCCCCAGACTGGTGACCCCAAGTGTCACGTCACCCCCAGACTGGTGACCCCAAGTGTCACGTCACCCCCAGACTGGTGACCCCAAGTGTCACGTCACCCCCAGACTGGTGACCCCAAGTGTCACGTCACCCCCAGACTGGTGACCCCAAGTGTCAGGTCACCCCCAGACTGGTGACCCCAAGTGTCACGTCACCCCCAGACTGGTGACCCCCCCCCCTGGGATTAACGTGTCATTAACGGTCAATAACCATTTGACGGCCGCCGCCACAACCTGCCAGTCTCCTGTTGCTCAATTATTCCCGTACCACAGTGGGATGTTACCCCCGTACCGCAGTGGGATGTTACCCCCGTACCACAGTGGGATGTTACCCCCGTACCACAGTGGGATGTTACCCCCGTACCACAGTGTGGTGTTACCCCCGTACCACAGTGTGGTGTTACCCCCGTACCACAGTGGGATGTTACCCCCGTACCACAGTGTGGTGTTACCCCCGTACCACAGTGTGGTGTTACCCCCGTACCACAGTGTGGTGTTACCCCCGTACCACAGTGTGGTGTTACCCCCGTACCAGTGTGGTGTTACCCCCGTACCACAGTGTGGTGTTACCCCCGTACCACAGTGTGGTGTTACCCCCGTACCACAGTGTGGTGTTACCCCCGTACCACAGTGTGGTGTTACCCCCGTAACTATATTACCCCCACAGTGGGATGTTACCCCCGTACCTCAGTGGGATGTTACCCCCGTACCACAGTGGGATGTTACCCCCGTACCACAGTGGGATGTTACCCCCGTACCTCAGTGGGATGTTACCCCCGTACCTCAGTGGGATGTTACCCCCGTACCACAGTGGGATGTTACCCCCGTACCACAGTGGGATGTTATCCTGATTCTCATAAGTATATATTTTTAATCGACTATTTTTAGTGATAATTATTGATATTTGATGCGAGTTGTGAATTATTTATATTTGAATAATGTAAGTAAGAACGTGTGTATATTAAAGTATTTTGGATGAAAATCATTGATTTGTAGCTAGATATTATATATATAATATTAGTATGTTCTGGTAGCAGTCTTTCTTGTAAACATATGTTGTTGAATATGACCAGGGTAAGATTAATGATTCTAACACGAATCTTCTCAATATTTCTTATGTTTTTTTTCACTATCGGGGGTAAGTGAAAAATTAACTCTCCGAAGTTCATTTCACATTTTATTTATGGTCTGACCCCCTACAAGCGTTTTGCAAGAACACTTCTTATATTTTCTTAGACAATTTTACATACTCAGATCGTGCTTATATTCGTTTTTGGGCGAGATGATAGGATACAAATGTTTTGGGTGAGGTGATAGAACACAAATTAAAAAGACAGAACACGAAACAATGGGTATATTACATGTTTTATCTTCTTCTGTGCTGGCTCGGGGTCTTGAAGTGGGTAGAATGTAATTATGTGTTGATTGGCTGTTGATTGCTGTTTTTGATATTTTGATGTATAGTGCCTCACTGATGTCAAGTCTCCTGTTATCGTTGTATCTGTCGATAATTTCTGTATTGCTTGTTAAGATTTCTCTGCTGGTCTGATTACTATATATACTTACTTACCTAGTGAGTACATATATTAGTAGTAGTCCTAGTAGTACCTATATTAGGCTAGTAGTTGCTAATAAGCCGACTTTTACAAAATATTTTTTTTTTCAAAAAACAAAATTCCTATATAATGGTAAAAGCTTTCTATCCCATAAATTATTTTCTTATTTTTTTTTAATTTGAGTTAAAAGTTATGTGAAGTTTGATATTTCTATAAGTCAGTAACTCATGTTTATATAATAATAAAGTGTATAATACACTACTGTAGGTGTAACATTTCTCTCACCTCGGGCACTAGTGAGCGTGGTAGGCCGTCCGCCCCCAGAGTCAGAGGACGGGTGTTCGAGCCACCTGGTGCCCAACGTGAATGAATTAACTATCAAAGTACTGTACACAAACTCATATGTATTTAAATTAATTATTTATTGACATTGTTTATAAAATATGTTGAGAAGCACAAGTCATGGGAGACTGGGAATATTAAATTTTGTGTGTATATACAGATTTTTCTAGTATAGTATATTTTCTGTTGTATTTGATGTATTATATGGCATTATATCCTTACTGTATTGTATTGGTGACGGGGACAGCGGGCGGCGGCGTCCGCAAGATGCACATCGTTCACAACAGTGACACACCCACCACCACCTACGCCATCCTCGAGACGCCTTCCAAACAGGTAGTGTGTGTGTGTGTGTGTGTGTGTGTGTGTGTGTGTGTGTGTGTGTGTGTGTGTGTGTGTGTGTGTGTGTGTGTGTGTGGTGTGTGTGTGTGTGTGTGTGTGTGTGTGTGTGTGTGTGTGTGTGTGTGTGTGTGTGTGTGTGTGTGTGTGTGTGTGTGTGTGTGTGTGTGTGTGTGTGTGGTGTGTGTGGTGTGTGGTGTGTGGTGTGTGTGTGTGTGTGTGTGTGTGTGTGTGTGTGTGTGTGTGTGTGTGTGTGTGTGTGTGTGTGTGTGTGTGTGTGTGTGTGTGTGTGTGTGTGTGTGTGTGCGTGCGTGCGTGCGTGCGTGCACCTATTAGGTCACCAGTCTGGGGTGAAGTATACTTGGCTTTAAGTGTCTCTTTTGCGAGGTCTAGCTCATTATGCCCCTCATACTGGTTTTGTACCTTTCGTGTTTCAACCTGTCTTTATATGTCTTTATGCATGGCGTGTATGTATGGTATGTGTATTTATGGTGTGTCTTTATGTATGGTGTGTCATTATGTACGGGTGTCATTGTGTATGGTGTGTCATTATGTACGGGTGTCATTGTGTATGGTGTGTCAATATGTACGGGTGTCATTGTGTATGGTGTGTCATTATGTACGGGTGTCATTGTGTATGGTGTGTCAATATGTACGGGTGTCATTGTGTATGGTGTGTCATTATGTACGGGTGTCATTGTGTATGGTGTGTCAATATGTACGGGTGTCATTGTGTATGGTGTGTCAATATGTACGGGTGTCATTGTGTATGGTGTGTCATTATGTACGGGTGTCATTGTGTATGGTGTGTCAATATGTACGGGTGTCATTGTGTATGGTGTGTCAATATGTACGGGTGTCATTGTGTATGGGTGTGTCATTATGTACGGGTGTCATTGTGTATGGTGTGTCAATATGTACGGGTGTCATTGTGTATGGTGTGTCAATATGTACGGGTGTCATTGTGTATGGGTGTGTCTGGAAGTGTGTTTATGTATGGAAGTGTGTTTATGTATGGACGTATGTGTGTATGTATGTATGGCCGTGTGCTGAAATATATAAATGAAATATGGAGACTACAATTAGTCCCTCTACACAGTATTGGCCAGGTACTATAGGGCAGTAGTCTAGTCCTTAAGACTGGTGGACAAGTACAGTACTGAGAAGCTGGTCTCTGTCCCTCCTCCAGGTGACGCTCTCCGCAGACTTCCTCTTCGACCTCTTGCTGCCCCGCCTCGACCACATGTACCAGGCCAAGAAGAACCTCAAGATCGAGTCTAAGGGCGCCAAGTACGAGATCGGCGACTTCCTCGTCAAGATTGGCACCGTCACCATGAGCGGACACTATAAGGGCATTCTGGTTGAGGTCAGTTCACATATCCTCTGTACTTAACCCGACGGGGTTTGTCCTCATCCACACTGGGTACTTCCTCATCCGGACGAAGTTTGTGCTTATCCGGACAAGGATTTGTTCTTATCCGGGTGTAACACCTGCCCCCCCCCCCTTCCCTTTTTGAAACCCTTATCTGATAACACTAACACTGTGGGTTTATAGACTGGTGCTCTTGGATACATTTCCTTAAACACTCTAACCAATATTTACAGTTGAGTGTAACCTGATACTTGTGATCTCACACTGAACTAATGGTACGTCCAAGGAAGTGCTTAATGTCAATTCAAAGGAGAAACAAGATGTGATTGTCTTATTGTAACACCTTAGTGGGGAGAAGGAAGAGGCAGAGGAATGAGTTAGGAATGAGGGAAGATTATGAGTGAGTGAGTGAGGAGTGGATAGAAAACAGGGAAGGTTGAGGGAGGGACTGAGGTAGAGAGAGGTGGGCGAGAATAGAAAACGAGGAGCGAACGGGAAGAGGGAAGGAGAGAAGGATGGAGGTGGTCAAAGAAGTAGTAAAGAGAAACTTATTACAAAAGCTACCATCACCCCTCATTACATATTTAGTTACTACAAGAGTATTGATCATTACTAGCGGTTTATGGGGTAAACCAGTGCGTCCCGTTGGCTTTAATTGTTACCGAGATTCCTGCTTGTGGTGTATCACGCACTGACAGTTATGTTAAACAATCTGATACCGGAGAATTTGAAGGGTTGTGTGTACCTGATGACACACACACTGGAGATGACAATGGAGGGGAAAACCAGTGACACAAACATGTAAATTTAACAAGATTTTAGTAGTCTAAATTATGATATTCTACCACAGATTCTTAAGTCACCTACACTGACAATTTCCTAAGTCCCTATCCTACACTGTATAAACATCAGAGGTCCGCGGCTGTTCAACGTCCTCCCAGCGACTATAAGAAATATTGCCGGAACAACCGTGGACATCTTCAAGAAAAAACTGGACTGTTTTCTAAGGGAAGTTCCGGATCAGCCGGGCTGTGGTGGGTATGTGGGCCTGCGGGCCGCTCCAAGCAACAGCCTGGTGGACCAAACTCTCACAAGTCAAGCCTGGCCTCGGGCCGGGCTTGGGGAGTAGAAGAACTCCCAGAACCCCATCAACCAGGTATCAAGCAGGTACACTGGCAATGATTAAGTAATTCAGACATGGAGCCATACATCAGAGATGTCACACGTTACCTCATGGAACCGCCTCTCTGCTGGAGACCAAGTCTCCCACCTGGCCGGGTCTCTCTCTGCTGGAGACCAAGTCTCCCACCTGGCCGAGTCTCTCTCTGCTGGAGACCAAGTCTCCCACCTGGCCGGGTTAGGTCCCGCAGACCACCTCCCCTCACTTTCCCAGACAATTCTCCAATTACTCTCCACCATACACGGACGGGGTATACGTACACCCCAAAACTGCCATAGCTACTAACACCTGGTGGTTTTTAGTTGGTTCAAAACTACAATGGAAGTAGGGTGGTCTCCTCAACCACAGCATCACACTCAGTATTCCAAAAAAATTGTCATGAAAGCTGTTTGATAAGACTATAGTAATTAATGGAGGCGACGTACCACTCCACACGTGTTCATGGTAGATCAATCTACCTCTACTTGAGGGATGAGGGGCAGCCTCCTATGTAGTAATGTCCTGTATTATAATTTGTTTTGACATTAAGTCTTCTAACAAATGGGTGGCGAGGTCAACTTCTGACCCCTAACACATCCAAGCCTTGGAAAGGGTAAGAGAAAAATTCGGAGTGAGAAAGAGAAAACCCTAAAACTGCTTCTCGGGCCTAGCCAAGAATGTTTCATTAGATGTTTGCAAACCAGAACAAACTCGTCCGCACTTTGTTCTTCTCTGGCCGGAATTTATTCTTCTCCGGACGGGGATTGTGCTCATGAGAACGGAGCGGGGTTTGTGATCATCCGGACGAGATGAGATATTGAAGTCCGTCTGTGATTTCCTTGTGTATGTGGCTGTTCCTCTTACGTTATGTGAACCTTTGGTTCCCTCTCTTGTCTTAGGGAGGCCTTGATTAATGATGGTATTCTCTCGCCTTCTCTTAACCTCTTGAGCGGACTCACTTAATTTTACTCACCTAGTTGTGTGTGTGTGTGTGTGCATTTACTATTTGTGCTTGGAGAATCAAGCTATTAGCTCTTGAACCCCGCCTTTGTGACCAATCTATTTTTCCTCTATTATGTCTACTACATATATTTCTCTATAACACACACACACACACAATGGAATGCATTAGGAAGTGATGTAGTGGAGACAGACTCCATACATAGTTTCAAATGTAGATATGATAGAGCCCAATAGGCTCAGGAATCTGTACACCTGTTGATTGACAGTTGAGAGGCGGGACCAGAGCCAGAGCTCAACCCCTGCAAGCACAACTAGACGAGTACATCCCCCCCCCCCCAGGAAGCAGCCCGCAGCAGTATACGCGGTGATGCAGGTCACCATAAAAGGTGTCTTACGAGCACTGATGTTGATGTACTCCATACAGGTGGAGTACCTACCGTGCGTCACCCCGGCCCTCTGTTGGTCGCTCATCCGGGAGTTTATGCAGAGCTTCATGGGGTCTTGTGTCAAGCCCACGCCTCCGACCTACCTCCAGGTTAGTGTCCAGCCCACCCCTCCGACCTACCTCCAGGTTAGTGTCCAGCCCTCCCCCTCCGACCTACCTCCAGGTTAGTGTCCAGCCCACCCCCTCCGACCTACCTCCAGGTTAGTGTCCAGCCCACCCCCTCCGACCTACCTCCAGGTTAGGGTCCAGCCCACCCCCTCCTACCTCCAGGTTAGTGTCCAGCCCACCCCCTTCTACCTACCTCCAGGTTAGTGTCCAGCCCACCCCCTCCGACCTGCCTCCAGGTTAGTGTCAAGCCCACGCCTCCGACCTGCCTCCAGGTTAGTGTCCAGCCCACCCCCTCCGACCTACCTCCAGGTTAGGGTCCAGCCCACCCCCTCCTACCTCCAGGTTAGTGTCCAGCCCACCCCCTTCTACCTGCCTCCAGGTTAGTGTCAAGCCCACGCCTCCGACCTACCTCCAGGTTAGTGTCCAGCCCACCCCCTCCGACCTACCTCCAGGTTAGGGTCCAGCCCACCCCCTCCTACCTCCAGGTTAGTGTCCAGCCTACCCCCCTTCTACCTGCCTCCAGGTTAGTGTCCAGCCCACCCCCTCCGACCTGCCTCCAGGTTAGTGTCAAGCCCACGCCTCCGACCTGCCTCCAGGTTAGTGTCCAGCCCACCCCTCCGACCTACCTCCAGGTTAGTGTCCAGCCCACCCCTCCGACCTACCTCCAGGTTAGTGTCCAGCCCACCCCCTCCGACCTGCCTCCAGGTTAGTGTCAAGCCCACGCCTCCGACCTGCCTCCAGGTTAGTGTCAAGCCCACGCCTCCGACCTACCTCCAGGTTAGTGTCCAGCCCACCCCTTCGACCTACCTCCAGGTTAGTGTCCAGCCCACCCCTCCGACCTACCTCCAGGTTAGTGTCCAGCCCACGCCTCGGACCTACCTCCAGGTTAGTGTCCAGCCCACCCCCTCCGACCTACCTCCAGGTTAGTGTCCAGCCCACCCCCTCCTACCTACCTCCAGGTTAGTGTCCAGCCCACCCCCTCCGACCTACCTCCAGGTTAGTGTCCAGCCCACCCCCTCCTACCTCCAGGTTAGTGTCCAGCCCACCCCTCCGACCTACCTCCAGGTTAGTGTCAAGCCCACGCCTCCGACCTGCCTCCAGGTTAGTGTCCAGCCCACCCCCTCCTACCTCCAGGTTAGTGTCCAGCCCACCCCCTTCTACCTGCCTCCAGGTTAGTGTCCAGCCCACCCCCTCCTACCTCCAGGTTAGTGTCAAGCCCACGCCTCCGACCTGCCTCCAGGTTAGTGTCAAGCCCACCCCCTTCTACCTGCCTCCAGGTTAGTGTCCAGCCCACCCCTCCTACCTCCAGGTTAGTGTCCAGCCCACCCCCTCCGACCTACCTCCAGGTTAGTGTCAAGTCTTTCTTCGTAAGACACAGAGAACCAATACAGAACCATGTCTTGATGCAGAATATCTCGCATGTAAGAGGTAGACTACACGTAGTTGTGTCAGGGTGTAGGCTACACGTGGTTGTGTCAGGGTGTAGGCTACACGTGGTTGTGTCAGGGTGTAGGCTACACGTAGCTGTGTCTGGGTGTAGGCTACACGTAGTTGTGTCAGGGGTGTAGGCTACACGTAGCTGTGTCAGGGTGTAGGCTACACGTAGCTGTGTCTGGGTGTAGGCTACACGTAGTTGTGTCAGGGGTGTAGGCTACACGTAGCTGTGTCAGGGTGTAGGCTACACGTAGTTGTGTCAGGGGTGTAGGCTACACGTAGTTGTGTCAGGGTGTAGGCTACACGTAGTTGTGTCAGGGTGTAGGCTACACGTAGTTGTGTCAGGGTGTAGGCTACACGTAGCTGTGTCAGGGGTGTAGGCTACACGTAGCTGTGTCAGGGTGTAGGCTACACGTAGTTGTGTCAGGGGTGTAGGCTACACGTAGTTGTGTCAGGGTGTAGGCTACACGTAGTTGTGTCAGGGGTGTAGGCTACACGTAGTTGTGTCAGGGTGTAGGCTACACGTAGTTGTGTCAGGGGTGTAGGCTACACGTAGTTGTGTCAGGGGTGTAGGCTACACGTGGTTGTGTCAGGGGTGTAGGCTACACGTGGTTGTGTCAGGGGTGCAGACTACACGTAGTTGTGTCAGGGTGTAGGCTACACGTGGTTGTGTCAGGGTGTAGGCTACACGTAGTTGTGTCAGGGGTGTAGGCTACACGTGGTTGTGTCAGGGGTGTAGACTACACGTAGTTGTGTCAGGGGTGTAGGCTACACGTAGTTGTGTCAGGGTGTAGGCTACACGTAGTTGTGTCAGGGTGTAGGCTACACGAAGTTGTGTCAGGGTGTAGGCTACACGTAGTTGTGTCAGGGGTGTAGGCTACACGTAGTTGTGTCAGGGTGTAGGCTACACGTAGTTGTGTCAGGGGTGTAGGCTACACGTGGTTGTGTCAGGGGTGTAGGCTACACGTGGTTGTGTCAGGGGTGTAGACTACACGTAGTTGTGTCAGGGTGTAGGCTACACGTGGTTGTGTCAGGGTGTAGGCTACACGTAGTTGTGTCAGGGGTGTAGGCTACACGTGGTTGTGTCAGGGGTGTAGACTACACGTAGTTGTGTCAGGGGTGTAGGCTACACGTGGTTGTGTCAGGGTGTAGGCTACACGTGGTTGTGTCAGGGTGTAGGCTACACGTAGTTGTGTCAGGGGTGTAGGCTACACGTGGTTGTGTCAGGGGTGTAGGCTACACGTAGCTGTGTCAGGGGTGTAGGCTACACGTGGTTGTGTCAGGGGTGTAGGCTACACGTGGTTGTGTCAGGGGTGTAGGCTACACGTAGTTGTGTCAGGGGTGTAGGCTACACGTAGCTGTGTCAGGGGTGTAGGCTACACGTAGTTGTGTCAGGGGTGTAGGCTACACGTAGTTGTGTCAGGGGTGTAGGCTACACGTAGTTGTGTCAGGGGTGTAGACTACACGTGGTTGTGTCAGGGGTGTAGACTACACGTGGTTGTGTCAGGGGTGTAGGCTACACGTAGCTGTGTCAGGGGTGTAGGCTACACGTAGTTGTGTCAGGGTGTAGGCTACACGTGGTTGTGTCAGGGGTGTAGACTACACGTGGTTGTGTCAGGGGTGTAAACTACACGTAGTTGTGTCAGGGTGTAGGCTACACGTAGTTGTGTCAGGGGTGTAGGCTACACGTAGTTGTGTCAGGGGTGTAGGCTACACGTAGTTGTGTCAGGGGTGTAGGCTACACGTAGTTGTGTCAGGGTGTAGGCTACACGTGGTTGTGTCAGGGTGTAGACTACACGTGGTTGTGTCAGGGGTGTAGGCTACACGTGGTTGTGTCAGGGGTGTAGGCTACACGTGGTTGTGTCAGGGGTGTAGGCTACACGTGGTTGTGTCAGGGGTGTAGGCTACACGTGGTTGTGTCAGGGTGTGGGCTACACGTGGTTGTGTCAGGGGTGTAGACTACACGTGGTTGTGTCAGGGGTGTAGGCTACACGTGGTTGTGTCAGGGGTGTAGGCTACACGTAGTTGTGTCAGGGTGTAGGCTACACGTAGTTGTGTCAGGGTGTAGGCTACACGTAGTTGTGTCAGGGTGTAGGCTACACGTAGTTGTGTCAGGGTGTAGGCTACACGTAGTTGTGTCAGGGTGTAGGCTACACGTAGTTGTGTCAGGGTGTAGGCTACACGTAGTTGTGTCAGGGTGTAGGCTACACGTAGTTGTGTCAGGGTGTAGGCTACACGTAGTTGTGTCAGGGTGTAGGCTACACGTAGTTGTGTCAGGGTGTAGACTACACGTAGTTGTGTCAGGGTGTAGACTACACGTAGTTGTGTCAGGGTGTAGACTACACGTAGTTGTGTCAGGGTGTAGGCTACACGTAGTTGTGTCAGGGTGTAGGCTACACGTAGTTGTGTCAGGGTGTAGACTACACGTAGTTGTGTCAGGGTGTAGGCTACACGTAGTTGTGTCAGGGTGTAGGCTACACGTAGTGTCAGGGTGTAGGCTACACGTAGTTGTGTCAGGGTGTAGGCTACACGTAGCTGTGTCAGGGTGTAGGCTACACGTAGTTGTGTCAGGGTGTAGACTACACGTACACGTAGTGTCAGGGTGTAGACTACACGTAGTTGTGTCAGGGTGTAGACTACACGTAGTTGTGTCAGGGTGTAGGCTACACGTAGTTGTGTCAGGGTGTAGACTACAGGTAGTTGTGTCAGGGCGTAGGCTACACGTAGTTGTGTCAGGGTGTAGACTACACGTAGTTGTGTCAGGGTGTAGACTACACGTAGTTGTGTCAGGGCGTAGGCTACACGTAGTTGTGTCAGGGCGTAGACTACACGTAGTTGTGTCAGGGTGTAGACTACACGTAGTTGTGTCAGGGTGTAGACTACACGTAGTTGTGTCAGGGTGTAGACTACACGTAGTTGTGTCAGGGTGTAGACTACACGTAGTTGTGTCAGGGTGTAGACTACACGTAGTTGTGTCAGGTTGTAGACTACACGTAGTTGTGTCAGGGTGTAGACTACACGTAGTTGTGTCAGGGTGTAGGCTACACGTAGTTGTGTCAGGGTGTAGGCTACACGTAGTTGTGTCAGGGTGTAGGCTACACGTAGTTGTGTCAGGGCGTAGGCTACACGTAGTTGTGTCAGGGCGTAGGCTACACGTAGTTGTGTCAGGGCGTAGGCTACACGTAGTTGTGTCAGGGCGTAGGCTACAGGTAGTTGTGTCAGGGCGTAGACTACACGTAGTTGTGTCAGGGCGTAGGCTACACGTAGTTGTGTCAGGGCGTAGGCTACACGTAGTTGTGTCAGGGTGTAGGCTACACGTAGTTGTGTCAGGGTGTAGACTACACGTAGTTGTGTCAGGGTGTAGACTACACGTAGTTGTGTCAGGGTGTAGGCTACACGTAGTTGTGTCAGGGTGTAGACTACACGTAGTTGTGTCAGGGTGTAGGCTACACGTAGTTGTGTCAGGGTGTAGGCTACACGTAGTTGTGTCAGGGTGTAGGCTACACGTAGTTGTGTCAGGGTGTAGGCTACACGTAGTTGTGTCAGGGTGTAGACTACACGTAGTTGTGTCAGGGTGTAGACTACACGTAGTTGTGTCAGGGTGTAGACTACACGTAGTTGTGTCAGGGTGTAGGCTACACGTAGTTGTGTCAGGGTGTAGACTACAGGTAGTTGTGTCAGGGCGTAGGCTACACGTAGTTGTGTCAGGGTGTAGACTACACGTAGTTGTGTCAGGGTGTAGACTACACGTAGTTGTGTCAGGGCGTAGGCTACACGTAGTTGTGTCAGGGCGTAGACTACACGTAGTTGTGTCAGGGTGTAGACTACACGTAGTTGTGTCAGGGTGTAGACTACACGTAGTTGTGTCAGGGTGTAGACTACACGTAGTTGTGTCAGGGTGTAGACTACACGTAGTTGTGTCAGGGTGTAGACTACACGTAGTTGTGTCAGGGTGTAGGCTACACGTAGTTGTGTCAGGGCGTAGGCTACACGTAGTTGTGTCAGGGCGTAGGCTACACGTAGTTGTGTCAGGGCGTAGACTACAGGTAGTTGTGTCAGGGCGTAGACTACACGTAGTTGTGTCAGGGCGTAGGCTACACGTAGTTGTGTCAGGGCGTAGGCTACACGTAGTTGTGTCAGGGTGTAGACTACACGTAGTTGTGTCAGGGTGTAGACTACACGTAGTTGTGTCAGGGTGTAGACTACACGTAGTTGTGTCAGGGTGTAGACTACACGTAGTTGTGTCAGGGTGTAGACTACACGTAGTTGTGTCAGGGTGTAGACTACACGTAGTTGTGTCAGGGTGTAGACTACACGTAGTTGTGTCAGGGTGTAGACTACACATATGTATAGTTACGAGTACTGTCCCCAGCTCCGCCTCGAGACGGGTGCAGGTGTCAGTGACAGTGTGTCTTCAGCCTTATGGCTGCTAGAAACTTTATAGAACCATAAAACTGTGCTCTTTCCTGAGAGTTGGTGGAGTCTTGAGAGCGTCGACACCACTCTCAAGTGCTGATGGGGAAGGGGAGGAGGTGAGGTGAGGGGAGGGGGTGATGCTCGGGGGCGGGAAGGTGTCGGACGGGCCTAAGCCAGACTTGCTGCCTGCCTTACAAGGAGCGGCTTACTCCGGGGAGGGTTTCTGGAAGCCCCACAGGCGTGCTTGTCTGCGGCTCTTGCCTCAAATTCGCAGTGGTTTTTGTCTGGCTAGAAGCGCTCGATGGCAGTTGATCCACCTGATGTTTGGAGGCTAATGTGGTCAATAGTTCGAGATAATGTCAACATTGCCACGCTTTTCTCTTCATTTAAGTATAGGGGGCCTTGTAGCCTGGTGGATAGCGCGCAGGACTCGTAATTCTGTGGCGCGGGTTCGATTCCCGCACGAGGCAGAAACAAATGGGCAAAGTTTCTTTCACCCTGAATGCCCCTGTTACCTAGCAGTAAATAGGTACCTGGGAGTTAGTCAGCTGTCACGGGCTGCTTCCTGGGGGTGGAGGCCTGGTCGAGGACCGGGCCGCGGGGACACTAAACCCCGAAATTATCTCAAGATAACCTCAAGATAGGAGTGTTGACGTTTTGATCGAAACAGTAAAACTGTGGTGCAGTAAGTGTGAGGACAGGTTGGGCAGTTGGCCCGAGATGTAGTTATCTCACCCCCCTACCCCCTCCATCCCCACACTCCCCCAGGACAGTTGATACGACAAACCAACTTATTACAATTAAAATATATGAAATTCTTGCACTGTATCTGTTTTGCTTCTGGTAGATAGATAATACATGTATGACTAATGTTCAAGCTATGTAATGTGTTGACTAAAAGTCAGTAGTGGTGCCGTGGGTGAGGCAGGTAACTGATAGTGACGTCTTTGTATTGGCCAATGAAATATTGTGTCGGGCACTATTGTATGCAATCTAACACGAGTTTTCCGTCTCCCTGACAGAACCACTACAACGACATTCACACCGCCCAAGACACCGTCAGGCAGTACGTCGAGAAGTTCAATGAATTCCGCGAGGGACCAAACTTTGGCGGTTCCCAGTCTTCTGGTACAGCCAACTAGCACCACTGCTCCTGCCGTCTAAGACAATGTCGCAGCCTCCGTGCACCCTGTCCCAGCCACATGACACACTCACCCAGTTACTACAATACTCATCATCCACATTTTCAGTGTCCTGGTCATAATAGACCATCCAGATCTCCACCGTGATCAGTGTGGTGCTTCACACTACTTGAGCTCTTAGCACTGAACTCCATCTCCAGTATATATACTAACAACCTTACCCCCCCCCCCCGTACTTCCCTGGCACCTAGTCTCTGTGACCCCCATGCTACTTTCACGGGTAGCATGGACCCCGGTCATGCTACTTTCACGGGTAGCATGGACCCCGGTCATGCTACTTTCACGGGTAGCATGGACCCCGGTCATGCTACTTTCACAGGTAGCATGGACCCCGGTCATGCTACTTTCACGGGTAGCATGGACCCCGGTCATGCTACTTTCACGGGTAGCATGGACCCCGGTCATGCTACTTTGACGGGTAGCATGGACCCCGGTCATGCTACTTTCACGGGTAGCATGGACCCCGGTCATGCTACTTTCATGGGTAGCATGGACCCCGGTCATGCTACTTTCACGGGTAGCATGGACCCCGGTCATGCTACTTTCACGGGTAGCATGGACCCCGGTCATGCTACTTTCACGGGTAGCATGGACCCCGGTCATGCTACTTTCACGGGTAGCATGGACCCCGGTCATGCTACTTTCACGGGTAGCATGGACCCCGGTCATGCTACTTTCACGGGTAGCATGGACCCCGGTCATGCTACTTTCACGGGTAGCATGGACCCCGGTCATGCTACTTTCACGGGTAGCATGGACCCCGGTCATGCTACTTTCATGGGTAGGATGGACCCCGGTCATGCTACTTTCACGGGTAGCATGGACCCCGGTCATGCTACTTTCACGGGTAGCATGGACCCCGGTCATGCTACTTTCACAGGTAGCATGGACCCCGGTCATACTACTTTCACGGGTAGCATGGACCCCCGTCATGCTACTTTCACAGGTAGCATGGACCCCCGTCATGCTACTTTCACAGGTAGCATGGACCCCCGTCATGCTACTTTCACAGGTAGCATGGACCCCGGTCATGCTACTTTCACGGGTAGCATGGACCCCGGTCATGCTACTTTCACAGGTAGCATGAACCCTGGTCATGCTACTTTCACAGGTAGCATGAACCCTGGTCATGCTACTTTCACATATGTCCAGGCACCATATACTAACCCCGTCTATCACCAATACCACCCCCCCCCCCCCCCCCCCCCGCCCCCCGTGAAATATGTAGACATTCAATTTGTTGGAGTGTGCGATCATTATTGCTCGCCGGCCATTTATATTGCACAGAGTCAATCAGGCAATATTGCTACTAGTGTGATGGTGCTCCGACCCACCTGTCAACCAACTAGCAGAATGGCTTTGTCACCTGGAACTCAATATTATTCTGTAGCATTGTGTAAGTTTTGATATGTTGAAAGAATTCAATTGTGGTTCATTGCACTGAAGGAGGCTGCGTCTCTCCAAATGAAGGAAATGGTTCTATATTAAATCGTGAAGAATTCAGCAGTTTGTATTAGCAGAATTAATGTAGTAATCTCAGGGAAAATAACGTTTAATCGTTTCATTTTTTGTTGTAATTACTGGGAATAAAATTGGCTTACATAATAAGAAATATATTTCTCAGACCTAGCGATCTTTCCCCTCCCATTATATCTGACAAGACAGTCGAAAGATGTTTTGAGTGGAAACGTGTATTGCTATCCTATTGTTCTTCACTATGATCTGTGGCTCGTTAGGGTATGTGATTCAAGAACGATAAGAGATATATCTGGAGGGTTGTTGAGATACCAACTTGCCCCTGTGTAGTTTTCTTTTCAGGAAATTAAGTCATCCCCTCAACAGCAAAGAGTGAGATCGTCAACATAAAGGTCCGAAAAAATGCCAGAGGGAAGGAAGATCATTGAGAGCAATGAGGAGAAAAAAATAGCAGTGCTCAGAACACTACCCCTGGGAACACCTTTGAATTGGTGAAAGGACACAAGAGGGTGGCACCAAGGCTCACTTAAAAGGAACGATGGGTGATGAAGCTATGAAGGAAGAACAGGAGATTGCTACAAAAGCCAAAAGAATGAAGCTGGGACAAAGGTGATTTGTCAAATCAAAAGGTGGTGTCAAATATGACACAACCTGTCAAATCTTTGACACCAATGACAGGTGGTGTCATAAGCCTTCTCCAAGTAAAAAAGAACTGCAGCCACAGAGGTCTTTGTGGCAAAGGCAGAATGAATGCAGACCTCTAGGTCCACTAAGGCATCAGTCGGTTTCCGAGGCTTGCTAAAGCCAACTTGAGACAGGGAGAGGTAGTGATAGTATTTTAATAACCACACAAAACGGGACATTGACTGTATGTTATAAAAACTTGCAGGCGCAACTCGTCAGGACAATGGGACGAGTTGCACTGACGAGTTTTTAATTTTTGTTTATTTTTGTCAATCTGGAGGGCCCACATTATGACTGGCATTGCATTGTTTGAAATAACATCAACTGGCCACAGAGCTGAGAGGCATAGAAGAGGAGGAGCTGGTGGAGGTGTCAGGGTTTAAAGTTTGGAAACGGTTTGAGAACGAAAGAAGGGAAGAGTAGAGTAACGCAATGCACAAGCATAAGTAATGGTAGGGGAAAGTCGCACGACAGTGGACCTAGTGCTGAGCCTCGGGGAATGACATACACTCGTGATGCTTCAAGGCGAAGATGGTCTGATTTGAGCTTATAATGGAGGCATACACGAGAAAAGGTACAGTGGGCCTCACCGCAGTTGATGTAGCGGTATTGGGAAGAAGAACAGTCAGTGTGAGAATGTCTAGGGTCACCACGTAAGGGCCAAGTGGACATCTCGCTGCTGCACCTGTAAGGACCATGACCAAAGTTCCAACACCAACTGCAGAGGCATGGAGAGGCTCTACTCCTGAGCATCTGGAACAGGCAAGGATGATGGAAGGGTCCTACCATCAAAACTGATCTTAGCCATACGAGAAGGTTGATGACAATGACCACGAGAGGGATGGTTGAAGGCGTCAATATGGAGGTGAGAAAAGTCATGTGCCATGAGGATATTTTTAATATTCTCATGGTCGTTTATGAGGTCTCCTTGTACAGTTGCAACATGGTGTGGGGAGAACAATAGTGCCAATGCTGGCACTCAACAGGGTATTTTCTGACACCCAAACTGGGGTTTCACGAATGACACTACATGTGTGCCAGTCTGCATAGGACTAAAAGTAACCTGGGAATCCACAGTCAATTAAGTGCTTATGGATGTGCACCTCAACAGGGCGGGTATGTTCATTGTGTCAAAGATCGAAATACGAAGCAAAATGCGCGCCAGCACAGAGACTGCGCTCGGAACCCTCGTGATCGGAGGGGGGGGGGGGGGAGGAGTTAACAGCATAGTTGTCACAATGGAAGATGAGCCACACCAGGGGGGGGGGAGGGGGGGGGGGACTAAGTAATAACTGTAGGTCTGGGGTGAACCAGACGCGCCATTTGGCTCATGAGCGCCGCACTGAACCTCCCGTTTACCCGACGGATATGAACATGGTAGTTTATGTTTGTAGTATTAAGTAGTAGTTAAAATATGAACCAAAGTTTAAGTCCTCTTCTGAATTTATTTCCTGCCCAATTATCGCATCATCTGTAAATCTGCAAACATCACTGCTCAATCCTGATTCCACTTTGATTATTTCTATACTGTAAACAACAGAGGTCCCAGGAGAGAGCCTTGAGGCACTCGACTAACAACGGTCACTCACTCTTCACTTGACTCCATATAAATATAAATAACTTTTTTTTCTTTTTTTTTATGTAAGCCTATGTTTTATATATATGTTTTTTTATGTATTTATGTAGGGGAGCCAGTTGGCCGAGCGGCCAGCACGCTGGACTTGTGATCCTGTGGTCCTGGGTTCGATCCCGGGCGCCGGCGAGAAACAATGGGCAGAGTTTCTTTAACCCTATGCGCCTGTTACCTAGCAGTAAAATAGGTACCTGGGTGTTAGTCAGCTGTTACGGGCTGCTTCCTGGGGGTGGAGGCCTGGTCGAGGACCGGGCCGCGGGGACACTAAAAAGCCCCGAAATCATCTCAAGATAACCTCAAGAAGCCTAGGGGCAGACTGCTGACTCTAGAAGCAATAAATAATAAGAGAAGGATTCTCTCAGATCGCAACTGAGTTTATTTATGACACAAAAGGTTCTTAAAACATCCTGTATTATATATTGCAATACATACATGAAAAGGCAATAAACAATATGACTGAATTACGAGGCCAGGCACTCTTAATATCTCCACCTGCGATTTATTAAGGCAATGTTTAGGGACTTTGAGAACCTTCTGACTGACGGCCAGAGATATGTTCTTTCTCCTGTAACGTGTCCTCAACGAGTGCCCATCTTAGCCCCACCCCATCATGGCCCTTCAACGAGTGCCCATATTAGCCCCACCCCATCATGGCCCTTCAACGAGTGCCCATATTAGCCCCACCCCATCATGGCCCTTCAACGAGTGCCCATATTAGCCCCACCCCATCATGGCCCTTCAACGAGTGCCCATATTAGCCCCACCCCATCATGGCCGTTCAACGAGTGCCCATATTAGCCCCTCCCCATCATGGCCCTTCAACGAGTGCCCATATTAGCCCCACCCCATCATGGCCCTTCAACGAGTGCCCATATTAGCCCCACCCCATCATGGCCCTTCAACGAGTGCCCATATTAGCCCCTCCCCATCATGGCCCTTCAACGAGTGCCCATATTAGCCCCTCCCCATCATGGCCCTTCAACGAGTGCCCATATTAGCCCCACCCCATCATGGCCCTTCAACGAGTGCCCATATTAGCCCCTCCCCATCATGGCCCTTCAACGAGTGCCCATATTAGCCCCATCCCATCATGGCCCATCAACGAGTGCCCATATTAGCCCCACCCCATCATGGCCCTTCAACGAGTGCCCATATTTGCCCCACCCCATCATGGCCCTTCAACGAGTGCCCATATTAGCCCCTCCCCATCATGGCCCATCAACGAGTGCCCATATTAGCCCCACCCCATCATGGTCCATCAACGAGTGCCCATATTAGCCCCATCCCATCATGGCCCATCAACGAGTGCCCATATTAGCCCCTCCCCATCATGGCCCATCAACGAGTGCCCATATTAGCCCCACCCCATCATGGTCCATCAACGAGTGCCCATATTAGCCCCACCCCATCATGGCCCATCAACGAGTGCCCATATTAGCCCCTCCCCATCATGGCCCATCAACGAGTGCCCATATTAGCCCCACCCCATCATGGTCCATCAACGAGTGCCCATATTAGCCCCTCCCCATCATGGTCCATCAACGAGTGCCCATATTAGCCCCATCCCATCATGGCCCATCAACGAGTGCCCATATTAGCCCCTCCCCATCATGGCCCATCAACGAGTGCCCATATTAGCCCCATCCCATCATGGCCCATCAACGAGTGCCCATATTAGCCCCTCCCCATCATGGCCCATCAACGAGTGCCCATATTAGCCCCATCCCATCATGGCCCATCAACGAGTGCCCATATTAGCCCCTCCCCATCATGGCCCATCAACGAGTGCCCATATTAGCCCCATCCCATCATGGCCCATCAACGAGTGCCCATATTAGCCCCTCCCCATCATGGCCCATCAACGAGTGCCCATATTAGCCCCACCCCATCATGGCCCTTCAACGAGTGCCCATATTAGCCCCTCCCCATCATGGTCCATCCGAGTCATATTAGCCCCATCCCATCATGGCACATCAACGAGTGCCCATATTAGCCCCCCCCATCATGGCCCATCAACGAGTGCCCATATTAGCCCCATCCCATCATGGCCCATCAACGAGTGCCCATATTAGCCCCTCCCCATCATGGCCCTTCAACGAGTGCCCATATTAGCCCCATCCCATCATGGCCCATCAACGAGTGCCCATATTAGCCCCACCCCATCATGGCCCATCAACGAGTGCCCATATTAGCCCCATCCCATCATGGCCCATCAACGAGTGCCCATATTAGCCCCTCCCCATCATGGCCCATCAACGAGTGCCCATATTAGCCCCACCCCATCATGGCCCATCAACGAGTGCCCATATTAGCCCCACCCCATCATGGCCCATCAACGAGTGCCCATCTTAGCCCCACCCCATCATGGCCCTTCAACGAGTGCCCATATTAGCCCCACCCCATCATGGCCCATCAACGAGTGCCCATATTAGCCCCACCCCATCATGGCCCATCAACGAGTGCCCATATTAGCCCCACCCCATCATGGCCCTTCAACGAGTGCCCATATTAGCCCCACCCCATCATGGCCCTTCAACGAGTGCCCATATTAGCCCCACCCCATCATGGCCCTTCAACGAGTGCCCATATTAGCCCCACCCCATCATGGCCCTTCAACGAGTGCCCATATTAGCCCCACCCCATCATGGCCCTTCAACGAGTGCCCATATTAGCCCCTCCCCATCATGGCCCTTCAACGAGTGCCCATATTAGCCCCACCCCATCATGGCCCATCAACGAGTGCCCATATTAGCCCCACCCCATCATGGCCCTTCAACGAGTGCCCATATTAGCCCCACCCCATCATGGCCCTTCA